CCTGGCCTGCAGCACCACATCCCCCCAACTGCCCGAGGGGCTGTTCCACCTGGCCTGCAGCACCACATCCCCCCACCTGCCTGAGGGGCGCCCACCTGGCCTGCAGCACCACATCTCCCCAGCTGCCCGAGGGGCGCCCACCTGGCCTCCACCACCACCACCACCACCACCACCACCACCACCACCACCACCACCACCACCACCCCCAAATATCTTCCAGCCGTCGTGGCTCGGGCTGGGTGACTTTCCCGGGGAATCACCATCTCAAGCCTCAAGCTAGCTCAGGTCCAGCTCCTGCCTCCTCTGAAAGCGGGAGAGTGACTGGGCCTGTGTCTGCTGAGTGACTGGCGTCACCCATCCTTGTGATTCCGAGTACCCGTTGCCACAGTGACTAGATTTCTGTGCCTGTAATGACAGTGCGGGAGGTGAGTTTTCACCTCGTTTCACAGTAGCGCCCCTCCCACATGGTTCTCACTCCCATAAGCTGAAGGTAGGAGCACGCTGCCGCTGTGGCCGTGCCCCTGGGTCAGACGGCATTGACCACACCTGGGCAGTGTGTGGCTGTTCATTTCACTGTCTTGCTCAGGCTTGCCTGGCTGTGTGCCGAATTGCTGCTGTCAGAACACGGGTTTTGTTTCAGCCCACTTTGAGCAGGGAAAGCAGAGTATGGCCCCTACGCAGGGCTGCGTGCTGCCTCCTGCTCTCAGGCCCGCCTTTCACTGGGCTGGTCTCGAATGTGAGCCCTCTGTGATCCAAAGACCTAGAAAGCTCTGCTCCCAGCCCCACGTGCCCCTGCCCCGCCAGCCGGGTGGCATCTGGTCTTGGGGAGTGTGGTGCCAGGCTCTGAGAGCACCCAGTCCCCAGCGTGGCGTTGTTCTTGGAGGTGCTCAGTCAGCTCCAGTAACCGATTGGTTCTGTGCCAGGCGGCCTGCAGTGTGCGGAGGGTGGAAATGAGACCCCTGCTCTCTAGGTGGGTTGGGGGGTGAGTTCATTCCAGGGTAGTTGTCAGTCTGAGCTGGACAGCGGCAGGCGTGGCTCCTGGTCAGGTTGGGCAGCCCAGTGAAGGAAGCCCAGGGTCACCCAGGGGACAGAGGAGGAAGAAGGTCTACAGGACACAGGCCACCAGTCCTGTCCGATTGAGTCTAATGAAAGTGAACTCGCCCCAGTAGCACCGAGTCTGTGCCGTGGGGGCGTCTCCGGCTGTGGTGATGTCATAGCTAGGCTGTGCCGTCGGGCTTCTGATGGCCAGGGGAGGCTCAGTGACAAGAGCTTCAGGATGCGGGCCCAGGCCCTTGGACACTTGGTCTCCCTCGGAGGGTGTGGTGTGGGCCAGGCCTGGTACCAGGTATGCGGTACTAGGTACCGGGCTGTGCCTTGCGGGATGGCTTCTGAGGGATCCTCTGGGGTGGGCAGGTCCTGCAGGACTGAGCCTGTGTCCTCTTCCAAGCCTGTCGGGTGCAAGTGGCACCCACTCCACCCGAGCAAGCTGAAGAGGTTTGTCCACCTGACCCCTCTGATTCAGGAGTCATGACTGAAAGCAGACAGCAGGGCCTGCATTGGGGCACAGCAGGTAAAGCCACTGCCTGCAGCGCCGGCATCCCTTATGGGCCCTGGTTCTTGTCTGGATGCTCCACTTCCCGCCCAGCTCCCTGCTCGTGGCCTGGGGGAAGCAGTGCTTGGGCCCCTATGCCCGCATGGAGACTCGGATGAAGCTCCTGGCTCCTGGCTTTGGCCTGGCTCAGCCCTGGCCATTGTGGCCATCGGGGGAGTGAACCAGCAGATGGAAGACCAGTCTCTATATATAACTCTTTCAAGTGAATCAATTCTTAAAAATAAGTAAAGTGGGTAATCAAGTAAAAAAAAAAAACCAAAAACAAAAGCAAGGCAACCATTCTTGTCCCTCGAAGGGGGCAGAGGTGGTGCTTTGAGGGTCTGCAGCTCCCAGGGCGGCCTTGCCTCTCTCAACCTTGTGTCTTGTTCCCCTCAGAACGGCGGTTTGACCTGGAGTGATGATGCGGACGGAGGCCGGGGAAGAGAGATCTCCCGGGACTTTGCCAAGGTCTGTAGCGCGCCCTCGGTGGTGGGGCGGGGGCTGCTGTGCTGTCCTGAGGAGACTCCCGCGGCAAGGTGCACTTCCTCATGTTGTCTTCTGGGGCTTGGGCTTGCAGCTGTATGAGCTGGACGGTGACCCCGAAAGGAGAGAGTTCCTGGATGACCTCTTCATCTTCATGCAGAAGAGGGGTGAGTGCGCACTGCCACGGGCCCGGGGGACTGGGGGACCAGGGGCCTTGCTGCTGCTGGCGTCTGGGTTTGGCCCAATCATTGAAAACAGAACTGAAGAGGGCGGAGCAGGCTGGTGAAGGTGGATAAAGTGGTGACCCCTGTTTGGCCCCACCTTGTTTTCCATCTCTTCTAATTAACCGGTCTCTGGGGTCCATTCAAATTCAGATGCAGTTTTATCTCAGCCCCCCAGCCGCTGGGGGCAGCCAGAGTAGGGCTGGGATTCTTGTTGGCTCTGACACGGCCCTCAGGACCCCTCAGCCTCCCCCTGGGGCCCAGCCGAGCTCCAGCGACAGCCTCGGTGTGGGGGGAACCTTTATTCTACCAAGGGCCATTTGGCTATTTATGACATCCTTCGCAGCCACACAGAAATGAACCTGCTACAGACGTATTGAATTTCAAGTCCTGCCTGCACTTGTGGCAGAGCAGACCCAGCGGGCCAGACCTTCCTACCCTGAGCTAACGCCCTGTCCCGGCCTCTTCCTCCCTTGCGCTCCAGAGTCTCCATGGCCTCCTGGTAGCTGCCGGCGACTGCTGGCTGACCCAGCCTGAGTACCTGCACCTCTGGCTGCTACCTGGAGAAAGTTCTCAGCCCTGAGAGAGGAGTGACCAGCAGCCCAAGACTCCCGGGTCGCCCTGAGGGCAGAAACCCACCTAGTACCTTGGCCTCCCCTTCCAGTCACCTGCTAATGATCTACAAGCTCCACAGGCCCAGCCTTCCCCGGGGCGGCCTGCGTGGGAGGGGTCAGCAGTGCGTCCCCCCCTTATCCCTCCCTTCCCGGAAGGATTTCCAAAGGAAAACGGAAGCAAGATCCCCGTAGGCAGGGGTGAAGATGGGTGATGGATGAGGGCCTCCAGGGACACTGGCTTTGTGTCCCCAGAGCTTGTGCAGGGCCCGGCGTGTCCCCTTGGTCTTCCTGACTCTGAGTGCCCCACGAAGGGAGGCTGCGCTGCCTCTCACTGGCTGCCACGCGGGTGGTCGCACAGCAGCACCGCGAGTGTGTGTGAGTGAGCCAAGCAGGATCCAGGAGTCCTTTGATGACATCAGTGTGTGGCTGCTCAGGTCCTAAGTAAATCCTCCTCCTGTCTCCAGCACTTTTGTCAGGCATTTCACTGTTTGCCGGCATCTCTGGGGACAGGAAACCGTGCAGTGTCTCGGCCTTGGACACCACCTTTGTTGTGGGGCTGCCCGAGGCCTCCACGTCATTGGCCACAAACAGAAGCATCTCTAGAGATTCAGTGTCCAGCAGGGAGACTGCCCCGCTGGAGGACGGGAGAGTGCGAATGGCTCAGGTCGTCCCTGGTCTCTGTGCGAAGCCTCCAGCCTGGGGGCAGAGACGCTGCGGCACCTGTGGCCAGGGCCCCCCAAGAGCAGCCGCGGCCTTGGGGAACTTGCTGTGGCAGACCTTGTGCTTGGGCTGGAGCGGGGAGACTGAGGCAGGACCACAGCGGGGTCCCTCCTGGAAGGCTCTGTGTGGTTGGAGAGGCAGAACCGGGAGCAGATGCGTTCCCCAGGACAGGAGCAGCCTCAGGCCTCCGCAGCGGGTCGGGGCCACCACGGGAGCCACCGGAGCCTGAGCTGGAAAGGCTGGGAGTGGGGCTGGGCTTGGAGCCGCGGAGGAAGCGACAGGCCCCGAGGGAGGCGGGCGGGAATGACTGCAGCTGCAGGTGATAAACCGCCAGGCCGCTCGGTTGTTAACATGTTGGGGTGAATTGACCGCAGTTCTGGGCCCTGCAGGGGTGCCTTGCACCTGGGGGCCCCTCCCTAGCCAGCAGATGAGCCTGGGAAGAGTGCCCATCAGGCTCCCTGCCTCCTGCTGAGCTATAAAAGGAGAGGGTTTCAGTCCAAGTCGGCCTGGAAGTTTCCACGTTGTCTGCGCCCACAGTAGTGTCAGAGCTGCCCACAGTGAACAAAAAGCAGGCGGGACGGCCCCTTAGCGAATCTCCTTCAGGACTGACGGCACAGGACAGCAGCCGCAGCCGTGCTGGGTTCTGGCTGCCCCGCGTCAGATCTCAGACCAGTCTAGTCTCGCCTCCTGTGTCGTCCCCACCCCACCCCCCACGTTCCCCCTCAGGTTTGGATGCCAGGGGACAAACCTGAAGAGCCTGTAAGGGGGAGCTCATGTCCGCCACTGCCCCCTGCCCCACCCCTAGCCCGGCCTGCTGTGCCTTCTGTCCACCTGTGTACACGCGGCAGCTGGCCGACCTGTGAGTTTGTTTTCTTTGAATCAGTTCGGTCCGGCTGCGGGTTCCTGTTCCGTCTGCAGTCTGTTCCGCGCCCCTTTCCTTACGTTTGGTGCTGCGTCCCGGCGTGGTCGGTCCCAGGTCCCGGCGTGGCCCCGCCCCAGGTCCCAGGTCTCCCCGTCCCAGGTCCCGGCGTGGCCCCGTCCCAGGTCCCAGCGTCTCCCCGTCCCAGGTCCCGGCGTGGCCCCGCCCCAGGTCCCGGTGTCGCCCCGGCCGGGCGCTTCTCCTGTCCTGGCTGGGCGGTGAATTTCCTCTTTTGCAGACTGAAAACATAGAATTAAACGAACTCCTCCCCGAGGGTCTCTCTAGAAGACTGTGACACCCTTGTAGTGTCTGACCCTGACGGCCCTTAACGTGTGTAAAAGGCACAGGAATTTGCTCAGCTCCAGGGCTTTGACTTGCTGTGGGCAGCTCCCGAGAGATGCCTGCAGGCAAAGCTCCCCCGTCTGGGCCCGGGTAGGGCGCTCAGAGCTGTGAGGTGGCCTTGGTTGTCCCAAACGGACTGTAGGATCTGTCTTGCTGTGGGAGAGGCCTTGGTTGGATGGGTTCCCTTCCCCCACGTGCCTCTCCACTCACCTCGGGCGCAGAACATCCCCGACAGTTGCCCTGCCGGCTGGGGGAGGCCATGGCCCGTGTGCTGTGTTGGCCTGCAGGACCTGGCCTTGTGCCTGGCCATGCCTCCTAGTGGACTGAAGTATGTTGTCTTTGTCAGGTACAATTGAGCTTTGGGGCTTCGTTGTCTGTCTTTAAGATTTATTTATTTATTTGAAAGGCAGAGTGACAGAAAGGGGGAGAGAGATCATCTTCCATCCATTGGCATTGGTTCACTCCCCAAATGGCCACAACAGCTAGGTCTGGGCCAGGCCGGAGCCAGGACAGGAACCCCATCCGGGTCTTCCACGTGGGTGGCAGGGGCTCAGGCACTGGAACCATCGCCCGCTGCCTTCATGTTTGCAGGAAACCGTGTCAGAAGCAGAGCAGCCGTCCCTCTCGTGAGGGATGCTAGCATCGAAGCAGTGCTTAACCCACAGTGCCACACCAGCCCCGAGGGAGCACACACCAGCCCCAGGGGTGCCCACACCAGCCCCGAGGGTGCACACACCATCCCCGAGGGTGCACACACCAGCCCCGAGGGTATACGCACACCAGCCCCGAGGGTGTACACACACCAGCCCCGAGGATATACACACACCAGCCCCGAGGGTGCCCACACCAGCCCCGAGGGAGAACACACCAGCCCCGAGGGTGAACACACACCAGCCCTGAGGATATACACACACCAGCCCCGAGGGAGCCCACACCAGCCCCGAGGGAGCCCACACCAGCCCCGAGGGTGAACACACACCAGCCCCGAGGGTGAACACACACCAGCCCCGAGGGTGTACACACACCAGCCCCGAGGGAGCACACACCAGCCCCGAGGGTGCCCACACCAGCCCCGAGGGAGAACACACCAGCCCCGAGGGTGAACACACACCAGCCCCGAGGGAGAACACACCAGCCCCGAGGGTGCCCACACCAGCCCCGAGGGAGAACACACCAGCCCCGAGGATATACACACACCAGCCCCGAGGGTGCCCACACCAGCCCCAGGGGTGCCCACACCAGCCCCGAGGGTGAACACACACCAGCCCCGAGGGTGTACACACACCAGCCCCGAGGGAGCTCACACCAGCCCCGAGGGTGTACACACACCAGCCCCGAGGGTGAACACACACCAGCCCCGAGGGTGAACACACACCAGCCCCGAGGGTGCCCACACCACCCCGAGGGTGTACACACACCAGCCCCGAGGGTGCCTCTGGATTCACCCTTGTCTGGGGCCAGATCTCCTCTTCTCCGGACATCCAGCTGCTGCTGTTACATACGGTTTTTACTTTCGTGTTGTTCACAGTCCCTGCCCTGGTAGCCGGTTACCCACGGCATGGGGAGGGAGCCTGGTGTTTGAAAGCTGTGCACTGCATGGCCCAGTTTTGTTTAGATTCAGCCTCTTCAAGACCTGATTGGAACTTCCAGTGCTTGGCAGAGCGAGCTGTTTGATAGGTGTGCGTTTTGTCCGAGGTAAGCGGACACGCAGTAATCCCAGGTGCCGGGGGGGGGTACAGCACTCAGCCGTGGGAGCCCCGCTGTGTCTGAGCTGCGTGGCACGGATACTGATGGACACCCACTCGCGCACACAGCCAAGCCCCACGACCGCGGGCTGCTGATGCTGAGAGGGTGGGAGCGGAATCCGGAGTTGGGCTGGAGGTGGGCTCTGAGGTCACACCCGCTGAGCCGGGCCCAGCGGCCCTGTTTTCTGCTTTCTGTGCCTGCCTTCACCACATACACACACCCCCAAACCAGTGGGGCTGCCTGGCCCTGCCCCTGTAAACCTGAGCCAGAGTAAACCTCCGTAGGGAGCTTCGCTGGTTCTGTAGGCAAAGTGACAGGAGCCGACCCGTGAGCCAGCAGCAGGTGAAGCCAGGAGGCCTGACGCGGCTCCTCCCGATACCTGGTCAGCCCCCACCCCGCCCAGCTTTGAAGAGGGCCTGGCATCCCACATGGGCGCCGGTTCAAGTCCCGGCTGCTCCGCTTCCCGTATCACTCCCTGCTGATGTGTGTGGGAAAGCAGCTCCTGGCTTCAGCCTGGCCCAGCCCTGGTCGTTGTGGCTGTTTGGAGAGTGAACCAGTGGTTAGCACATCACTTTCCTGTCTTCTCCTTCTCTCACTGTAACTCTGACTTTCAAATAAGTAATTTTAAAAACAAAAAGCTTCAAAGAGGTGTCAGGCAGGTCATAGCCGTGATTGCCGTATCAGCTGCAGCAGAACCCAGCATCACCTGCTGCTGAACTCGCCTAGAGCCGCGAGTCCGTGCCGGAGCGCAAAAAGGAGAAAGTTTAGAATCGGCCTGCGGGGTTGTGGACCGAGCAGAACTCGCCCGCGCAGTGTGCCCGGGCCCTGTGCCGAAGCTGAGCACTTGCTGAGCCGTGACCAGCCCTGTCTGGCTGCCTGGGCGTGGTCCTGGTGAGGGACGCGGCATGCCCGGTGCGCGTGGCAGCGCCGTCTTTCACAGCCAGGATTGGGAGGAACTCTAGTGCCCCCCGGCACCGTGGGCTGCGGCCTGGCCAGACAGTGGGCACTGCCCAGCCACCCAGAAGGAAGCAGCTGGGGGCACAACCCGCACTGGGGAGGAGAAGAGGCCCGGCCTTGCCACATTCTGATTGTGTTCAGGGGAAGCCGAGGCAGGTTGAGTGGCAGAGAAGGTGGAGGTGCCCCCAGCACAGTGGGCGGGAGGTTCCAGGGAGCTTTCGAGGCACAGAAGTGTGAGGTGGGGTCTGAGAGCAGCGGACGTGAGCTGCGTCCTCAGGTTGGGCCCTTCCTGGCCGCTGCCCTGCAGGCTGCCGGACTCCCCGTGTGCACAGGTCAGAGAGGATCACCACTCCGTCTGCTTGTTGTGGGAACAGCACCCGAGCAGGGCCGCCCGCCCCGCCCCGCGCGTTCCTGCGCACCACGGGCTCCCTGTCGGCTCTCCTGGCAGTCGGGGATGGCAGTGATTGATGATCCTTTGCAGAGCCAGGAAAAGGCAGCAAGGGTCCCTGGCAGGGCCACGCCCTGGCTCTGAGGTCCCTGCCCCAGTGGCTCCTGGTCTCCGCTGGAACGTGCCTGCCCCTGTGATGGGGAGGAAGTGGCTTTCCTCCAGCAGCTGCAGCCAGGGGGGCTTCACCCCACCCCCGCCCGCTGTTGCTGCCTAGGAGGAAAGAAAGCCCAGAGCCGGAGCAGCTCGCGTAGCTTCCCTGTGCTGGCAGTGAGAGAGAGACACAGAGAGAGGTCTTCCTTTTTCCATTGGTTCACCCACCGAGTGGCTGCTACGCCAACCCGAAGCCAGGTGCTTCTCCTGGTCTCCCATGGGGTGCAGGGCCCAAGCACCTGGGCCATCCTCCACTGCACTCCCTGGCCACAGCAGAGAGCTGGCCTGGAAGAGGAGCAACTAGGACAGAATCCGGCGCCCCGACTGGGACTAGAACCCGGTGTGCCGGCACCGCAAGGCGGAGGATTAGCCTAGTGAGCCGCGGCGCCGGCCAGCTTTGGCTGCTAGTGCCAGCGCCCGGTGCCCTTCTCACCAACAAGGGTTAATGCCCGGGAGCCCGAGGCCTCATGGGTCCTGGCCCTCATAAAAGCCTTTTATATCCGCCCTGGGCAGCCTGGGGCAGCCTGGCTGAAATCTGATACGGGGCCTCTTTGTTGTGACTGTCAGCGCCTGTGTTGAGGAGGGAGCTGGAGACCAGCGGTTTCTTGGGGTGCAGATAAGGCTCTGGGCTGCTGTCAGAGAGACATGATTAATGTCCCGCTTTGACAGCAGTGACTGGCAGTCTGCAGGCTGGGGGGCTCCTGCCCCTCAGCGGGCTGCTTTTCGTTTGGTGGAGGGTCTTGTCCCAGGAAGGTGCACTTGGACCTCATGGGCCTGCCCTGAAGCCACACGGGGGCTCCCAGGAGGGGGCCCCACGCCCGTTTCTCTTGGGAGATCATTCCATGCTTCAGGCAGGTCCTGCAGACCAGCCACCAGCCCTTCGCTAGGAACCGCAGTGAGCACCGTCTGTCGGTTTTATTCGTGAGGCTTTGGAACCGAAAGCTCCCCCAGAGTCCTCATTTCACAGGTGGGGAAACTGAGGCCTGGGTGTGTGGCCCCCTAATGGTGTCGCGTGTGGGTTCTCGTCCACGTGCAGGGAGTGGGCCCCGAGGCCGCCTCGTGGTGGCAGGATCTGCATTGTTCCAGGGCAGTGGCAATCGGCTGATGCTCTCGGCGGTGCCTGTGTTCTCTGACGGCCACAGGGTGGTCCAGAGAGAGCTCTGTGCTGACCTCCTGTCCCGGGAGGACGTGGCCAGGGCCCCGTCCACCAGGCCACTGCATGATGCGGGCAGGCAGGAGCCGGGGTGAGGGGAGGCACGCCTGCCCAGGTCCTGTGTCCACCTGGTCTCCCTGCTGGGAGCGGGCGGGGCGCTGAGCTTTGATGAGATGTCTGTGTCCAGGACAGCGTTGCTGTCACAGATGCCATCTTGGATGGCTGTGACTCAGGACTAGGGCACAGTTCTTTGGAGGTGGCCCTAGTGGATCCGTCCCCACCGGGCCGTCCGTCCGCAGTTAGACCCCGTGCACAGGCTGCCTGCAGACCAGCGGTGACCGCTTCTCAGTAAAGCTTCTCGGTGCCTGCTGGGCAAGGTTGACGAGCTCCGGAGGCCGAGTGCAGTCTCAGCACGGCTGGCTCGCGGAGCTCAAGACCACGTGCCATCGAGCACGTCTGCGTGGCCAGAAAGGGCCACCCTCTGCCCCGTCTCCTCGGCCACCACTTCCGAAGTCCCTGTTCTCCCCCTGGTCCTCTCTTGGTGGACCTAAAGGCAAGAGACTCTGCGCTCCGGCCTCGGCCCCTGTCTGTGCCACAGGGAGCAGGCCTGGGGAGTGCTGGCGCTTCCCGGGTGAGACTGCGCAGCAGCGTTCAGGCGTGCTAGAGGACAGCCCCGCCCCCACCGCCCCCCGTCCCCCCCCCCCCCCCGTACCGTGAACAGACGTGAAGCAGGGCCATCGCTCACTGAACCCCTGCAGGTTGAGAAGGGGCGTCTGGGGGTGGTCAGAGATCCTTCCTGGAGGGAGTGGGCCTCAAAGGACAAGCAGGGGATTGGGGTGGGGGAGTCGAGCACAGGCAGAGCTGGGTTGGGGAGACGGCGGCAGTGAGAAGACCCAACTCAGTGACTCGGTGGGAGTGAGTGCTTGCTCGGGGTGCCTGGACACACATATATGCACATACGCCTGTGATTTACTTACTTATGTGAAAGGCAGAGAGAGGTCTTCCATCTACTGCTTCATCCCTCAGATGGCTGCAGCAGCCAGAGCTGGGCTGGCCAGGAGCCAGGAGCTTCCTCCAGGTCTCACGTGGGCGCAGGGGCCCAAGCACTTGGGCCGTCTTGTGCTGCTTTCCCAGGCTACAGTAGAGGTTGGAAGTGGAGCAGCCGGGACTTGAACCAGTGCCCACATGGGAAGCCAGCACCACAGGCAGAGGGATGCGTGCAGTTGTGTGCATGCTGCTCTGCTTCCGTGCGCTGCCTCAGTCCCCAGAGGCCTGCAGAGCGGGGCCGGGCCCAAGTCAGAAACCAGGAACTGGATCCAGGTCTCTCACGCAGGGGGCCGGGGGTGCGCATCGGTAGGGAGCCAGGATCAAACCCAACGCTCAGCTGTGGGATGTGGGCGTCCCATGTGGCGGCGTACACGCAGGGCGAGCACCTGCCCCTGTGCAGGTTGCCTGACAGGGAGGTCACGTGGAAGTCGCCTCAGCGAGACGCCCAGCAGTGTGGAGGAGAGGCTGACGCGAGGGCACAGGTGCTCAGAGGGAGTGGATGGCGCCCCGCGGCCTGAGAGTGGCAGGCCGGGAGGGCAGAGGACATCAGGGACAGGAGGCCGAGCAGGCCCCAGTGGGAAGCGCCCTGGAGCTGCGGGCATGTGAGGAGCCCTCCCAGACAGCAGGTGGGCAGGTGGGAGGTGTGGACGGGCCAAGGCCTGGGGCTGCCCCGCCCCAGCAGCGCCAAGAACCTTCTGGTTTTCCATGTGTGCCCCCCCCCCCGCCCCCCGGCCCCTTTGTCCTTGACCCTCCCAGGACAGGTCTCAGAGGTCGGCAGCTCCTCCCCACGCTTAGGAGGGCGGCCTGGTCCGGCCAGGGGGTGCCGCGTGGCCCTGCTCACGGGGCGGGGTGGGGCTCCCTCAGCACCGCCACCTCCTCTCCATCCTGTGGTGCCAGTTATCCTGCACCAGAGTTGGTGAGGCCTGAGAACAAAACTGCTGGTCCTGGGCGTGGGAGGGCGGGGAGGAGAGGAGCGGAAACCACGGGCGCTGGTCAGCTCTGGGGACCTCAGCGCCAGAGGCAGGGGGAGGCAGGGGAGGGGTGAGCGGAGAGGTGCAGCCATGTGCAGTAAGAGGAGCCTGCCATCAAAGGGCAACAAGTCTGCCCTGCCCCGGATGGTGACCCTTCCCCGCGGAATTCTCCCCTCTGACCCCTGGATCATTAATCCCGGGCTGCCAAATGACAGTCATCCATCAGGCCTGTGAGGCACGGCCCCGCCCCTCCGTCCCCTGGTGCTCGTTAGCGGCCCTTCCTGCTTGGTGCCAGGTTTCCTAATCAAGTCCCTGGCTCCCCTCACTTCCCCTCGGCTGGGCGGAAGCTGCTGTGACCCTCCTTTGAGAGGCCGAAGAGGGGGTGGAGCGATCAGCGGGGAGAGGATGGTTGAGTGGCTTTTCACTCCCCAGAGGCCTGTGTGTCCAGCTCCTCTGATGCGGCAGGCACAGGGAGAGAAAGTGAGCGTGGCTCTGAGAGGAGGGAGCAGGCGGTGTGCACGGGGACCCTCCAGACCCCACCGGAGCTGTCCAGCCCGCCGACCGGACGGGGTGCTGGCAAGCCGGAGCGCGCGGCCCTGCACGCATGGCGTGTAAGCTGCGAGTCTGTACAGAATCACCTGGCAAACCACCAGGAGCGCTGACTTGGACGGGACAGCAGGGCCAGGCCTGTCCTCTGACAGCCCGCGGGCCTCACTCCCAGCTCCGCCCCGGGGGAGCATGGTCCTGATGCCGCTGTTTCTCCCCTTGGCAATCCCAGGGACCCCCATCAACCGGATCCCCATCATGGCCAAGCAGACGCTGGACCTGTACATGCTGTACAAGCTGGTGACGGAGAAGGGCGGCCTGGTGGAGATCATCAACCGCAAGATCTGGCGCGAGATCACCAAGGGCCTGAACCTGCCCACCTCCATCACCAGCGCCGCCTTCACGCTGCGCACCCAGTGAGTGGCACGGCGGCCACGCCCCTGGCGCGCTGCTTGCCCAGCGGGAGACCAGAGGCAGCCGGTGGCCAGGCTGCTGGATGGGTGACCTGTCCCCCTGAGTTCCGGGGCAGGGGAGGCTGAGGGGAGCGGGCAGACCCCCAGTGGCCCTGGAGCGCGCAGGCCACTCTGGAGTGGCTCCGGGAGGTGTGGTCCTGGCTGTGCCCTGGGGCTGGGGGCGAGGGCTTCGTCTCTGGAAGAGCAGGGGCTGTCGGGAGAGCAGTGCTGCTCCTCCACCCGCCTGACTGAAGGGCTGGAGAAACGCTGCCGAACGCGGGCTCGTCTCCCAGGGCAGCCGCTGCGCAGTTAGCTCGGGTGCCACCGTCTCCGTCAGCGCGTGGCGTCTGGGACGAGGCCGCGGCAGAGCGCAGCGACCCAGCCGGAGGCTGCCTGCGCCCGGGCGGGCTCGGCCGCGGTGACCGCCGGCTGCCTTGCTTCCTGCAGGTACATGAAGTACCTCTACGCCTACGAGTGTGAGAAGAAGGCCTTGAGCTCCCCTGCCGAGCTGCAGGCAGCCATCGACGGCAACCGGAGGGAGGGCCGGCGGCCCAGCTACAGCTCCCCCCTCTTCGGCTACTCGCCATCTGCCGCCCCTGCTGCCGGAGCCCCTGCCCTGCTCACCCCACCCAAGATCCGCTTCCCCCTCCTCGGGCTGGGCTCCAGCAGCGGCCCCCACACCGGCGGCTCGCGGGCGGCCCCGGCCAGCGCGCTCAGGAAAGGTCAGTGGGGCCTTGTCTCACACGCCTTCGGGTGGGCGCGGGGGTGGGCGCGGGTCCAGCTCCGGTTCCTTCCCAGGTGACACCGCGCCCGTGCCGAATCGCCTGGCTGCGCCCGGGGCCTTGGCCGGCCAGGGTGCCGGCCCCCGCACAGCCACGCTGGAGCAGCTGCGGGAGCGGCTGGGCTCGGGGGAGCCCCCCGAGAAGAAGGCGGCGAGGCTGTCGGAGGAGGAGCAGCGCCTGGTGCAGCAGGCCCTCCAGCGCGGCTGCCTCGGTGCGGCGCGGCCGCTGCCCGTGAGGATCAGGATCAACGGCAGGGGTGAGCCCACTCGCTGTGCTGACGAGACGGGCAGGGCTGAGCCCAGCTGCTTTCCTCGGTGCCCTGGCCTCTGGGAGGGGGAGGGCAGCTGCTCCGGAGGCGGCCAGAGGCCTTGGCAGCCGCTGGGGTCCTGCTTCCCACCCGCTTTGTGATCTCAACCCGCACCGTGTGGGATGCAGGCACAAGGCGAGCTCTGTGGCCAGGGCTGAGAGGGAGACCCCTCTCACTCCCGAGTCCAGCGTGGGCTGCCAGAGACCCTGAGTCGGCAGCCTCCCCAGCCCACGCTCTGCCCCGTCCCCTCTCCCTTTCCCCACCCTGCTCTGAAAGCCGAGTAAGGGTGGTCCGTGCTGGGAGAGGGTCAAGTGTGCAGGGAGCCCGAGCACCCCCCCAGGAGGTGGGCGCCCACACAGGGAGCCCGAGCACCCCCCCAGGAGGTGGGCGCCCATGCAGGGAGCCCGAGTGCCCCCCGAGAGGAGGTGGGCGCCCACGAGGGAGCCCAAGCACCCCCCCTGAGGAAGTGGGCACCCACGAGGGAGCCCGAGTGCCCCCTGAGAGGAGGTGGGCACCCACAAGGGAGCCCGAGTGCCCCGAGAGGAGGTGGGCACCCACGAGGGAGCCCGAGTGCCCCGAGAGGAGGTGGGCGCCCGTGCAGGGAGCCCGAGTGCCCCCCGAGAGGAGGTGGGCGCCCATGCAGGGAGCCCGAGTGCCCCCCGAGAGGAGGTGGGCGCCCGTGCAGGCCCCGTCCCCTGGTCCCGGACAAAGAGAACAGGCAGTTGACCTGGAGGAACCCATGGCTCTGTGTGGTGAGGAGGCAGCGGCCCCTCCGTCCCGTGTTCATGGGCAGGGCAGGAGGACGCGGGGCTGGGTCTTGACGGCCGCTGGTCTCACAGGCTTGGGGGGAGGTGGCTTTGCAGCAGGGGACTTGTGCGGACTTGACCGGCCGCTTGCCCCGTGTCTGCAGAGGACAGAGCCGAGGCCTCGGCTGCCGCGCTGAACCTGACCACCAGCGGCATCGGGAGCATCCACATGTCGGTGGACATCGACGGCACCACCTATGCAGGTGAGGGCCCCGGAGCCCAGGCAGCCCCCCCCCCCCGCCCCGCACACCTTCCTCGGTGGCCGCCTCCGCTGATAGCCCCTTCCTGGTAGATTGGCGGAGAGGTTCCGCGCGGGGCCAGCACCTGCCACCCTCGGCGGCCAGTCACGCGGCACGGGCAGAGGGGTCTGGGTGCAGCCTGTCTCTGTGACTCCGGTCTTTCACGGTCTCCTCTCCCTGCACCTCGCTTGGCAGCAGTGTCGGGGCTGCTTGGTTCACCACCTTGGCCAGGCACTCAGGCCCCTCTGAGAGGATGCGGCACCCGCCCAGAACCCCCGCACTGTGCTGTGTGCTGTCAGTCACCTCCAGTCCCTCCCTGCTGCACCTGACACGGGGTCCGTGCCGGGGAACTTGGGACTGCACAGTTAGGGAAGCAGCAGCCTGTCCATGTTCAGTGTGGATGTGGGTGTTTTTATTGGGGTTTTGGTTTATTTTATTTATTTATTTATTTTTAGTATTTTTTATTTCCAAGGCAGAGTTACAGAGAGAGAAGGAAAGACAGAGAGAGGTCTTCCATCTGCTGGTTCACTTCCCAAATGGCCACAACGGCTGGGGCTGGGCCAGGCAGAAGCCAGGAGCCTGGAGCTCCATCCAGGTCCCCCGCGTGGGCGCAGGGGCCCAGCACATGGGCCGTCCTCCGCTGCCTTCCCAGGTGCCCAAGCAGGGAGCTGGGTCGGAAGCGTGGTAGACCGTGAACTGTGCTCTGACCCGGAGGCAGGCACCGCCCCAGGACACAGGCTGTGCTGGCTGAGTCCGCCAGCGCAGAGGCCCTGTTCCCAGGGCCCACGGTGCCGGCTCCACTCCATGCTCAGGGCTGTTGGGCACCATGGTGAACAGGCCCCAGAGCCCCAGGTCGCGTGGGGAACCCCCGCGGCTGCCCCATCCATCGGGGCTGCTCCTGTCCGCCGGGACGCTTCTGTTCCGGGGGCTGCACCCCTCAGGGAGCGCGCCCCTCACCTGTGCTGCTGGCCGGGGGTGAGGCCGCGACCACAGGAGAGCCCCAGGCGGTAGGGCCTGGCCCTTTGCCCTTGACCGAGGGGCTTGGGAGGAGTGGGTCCTGGAGAGTGCAGGGCAGGCGTGGGCTGGATCACCACGTCTCCCTCACCTGCCCCCCAGCTACCCCCACCCATCCTCCCTGGCCCCATGGGGGACAGCCGAGCATGCTGGGAGGCCCTCGACCCTGCGCTCCAGTCCTCAGGCTGTGCCTCAGCCATCCTGCCTCGTCTGTCTGCGCCGGCACCACCGTGCCCCGCGCCCCTCTCCGAGCAGCCACACTGCGGGCGGAGGGGCAGGGTGGGGGCACCTGCTGCGGAGCGCTGAGCCGTGTCCCCCCCCCCCCCCCAGGTGTGCTCTTTGCCCAGAAGCCCGTGGTCCACCTCCTCGCCGGGGCGGCGCCCCAGGGCGGCAGCGGCGGCGGCGGCGGCAGCTCCTCGCACTGCTCGCCCAGCCCTACCTCATCTCGGGGCACGCCCGGCGCCGAGCCCTCCACCAGCTGGTCCGTCTGACGCGGCCCGGCCGCCCCGCGCGCCGCGGGGAGCGGAGGGCGCGTGCACAGCTTACCTCATCTGCGGGCCCAGTCCTCTGCGCCCGGCGCCCGGGGCCTGCTGCACTCGGGGCCGGGAGGGCGGGGCGGGGCGCCGTGGTCCAATCAGGGATTGTCCTGGAGAGTGGGCGGGGTCTGGGCGGCCACCTCCCTTCGGGGCACAGTAGCGACAATCTGTAGCCGACTCTGGCTGGCGGCCTCCATCCCCTCCCCCTTTAATTTATTTCCCTGGTCGCCTCCTGCTCGGACCCCAGGAGGAAGTCCCCCGGGCTCTTCTGCCGAGCCCACCTTGCCTGCTGTCGGGTTCCCGGGTGTGGGCCCCTCACGCGAGTCTGGAATCAGTCCTCAGGGCCCCGAAGCCCCCCTCCCCCGTGATGGTCCCAGTGAAGACCCCCACCCCCCACCCCCCTGCAGCGGCCCGGCCCCCAGCCCCACGTCCGGGCTCATTGAAATACCTCAGATTTGTAACTGTCTGATTCTTCAGGAAGTATTTGCATCTCTGAAATCTTTTATATGTGTTTTGCTGACTTCTGTTTTTTTATTTTTAAATTTTTATTGTCGTCGTCATCGTCTTTGTCCTTGTTGTAGCACCAAAGAAACGAAACCAGATCGCACCCGAAGCCAAGCAGGCGTCTGCTGGCCCGGCCCTCGGGGCAGCCAGCGGGGCCACTCAGGGATCCCCGCTCGGGGACGGTCCCGCGCCGGTACCACCCCCGCTCCCGCCACGCACGCCCTCAGGTCCGGGGGGGAGGCCTGGCCCAGGCAGCCCCCAGTGGGGCAGGGAGCTCCCTGTTGGCCACAGGAGGGCTCAGCTCTGTCCAGCGTGCCCCTCCCCGCCCACTGTGACGCCTCACCGGTGCCCCGCGGCGCTGCCTGGCCGCAGCCTCTGCCTTCCCCTCCGCGTCCACACACATGCACACGCCACCTGCACACCTGCACGCACACTGCTGTCCCCTGCACTCAGCACACACACGTTCCGCGTACAGCTGCGGCCGTTCAGCCGTGCACACACACCCCGCACCGGCCAGCAGGCCGGCCTGGCGGGCTCGGGGGCGTGCACGGGTCGCGAGGAGCCCCGCCGCTGGCGCCGGGCGCTCTGGGGCGACTCAGGCTCTCGGCCGGTGCGTTCTTCTCAGGGCTTTGGTCACGAAGGAAGGGCTCTTCCCACCCAGAGGCCGCGGCGCCCCTGGTCCCGGACCTCTCCCCCGCCTCGGGGAGCCCTCGCTTTGCTCAAGGCCAACAGCAGGGGCTCAGCCAGAACGCCGAGCCTGGGGCGCCCTCCCTTCCCCTCCCCTCCCCTGCCCTCCCCTCCCCCCCCCTCCGTCCTGCGTGGACTCCAAGCAGGACCGTGGTAGCACAGGGATAGCCTAGGCAGCAGGAGATACCTCACGTCCTCTGTGTTGTGGTTTCTATCTGACGTGTTCTCGAATGTTTGTATTTCAATAAACCTCTACCTCTTCGCACAGGCCTGTCTGGGCTCCGTCTTCTCCGCGTCCCGGGGCGCCGGCTCGGTGTCCTGGCAGACGCGGCCCCCGGGCTCTGCCGGGCCCGGCGCGGGAAGAGACCTGCTCCCTGGGGAAAGACCTGGTGTTCTGCGTCGCAGCGGAACTGGGTCTGGGGGATGGAAGCTGAGGCTGGGGGGGGGGGGGCGGCTTGCGGACTGCAGACGGGGGACAGAGGCAGCTGAGGGGCCCTGGCGAGGCCGGGTGCTGGCCCAGACTTGGGTGCCCTCTGAGCACCGGCGTACTTGGATTGCTGGTGGGCAGCCGCTACTGTTGCTCCTCCCGACTCCCCGTGGCCTCCCCAAGGAGGGGGCTGGGAGCAGCAGGCAGGCTCTGTCTGGAACACCTGCCACTGGGCCCCCCACAGGGCCGGGGGAGGAGGCCAGGGCACAGGAGGAGAAATGGCCCAACCTCGGCAGTCAGGGAGGTGCACAAGGAACCGTTTCGCACAGACTTTAAGATTTATTTTAAAGGGAGAGTTAGAGAAAGATCTTCATCAGCTGGTTCACTCCCCAAGTTGCCCACCAGCCAGGGCTGGGCAAGGAGGAAGGCGGGAGCCAGGAGCTTCTTCGGGGTCTCCCATGTGGGTGCAGGGGCCCGGGCCAGCCTCCACTGCTTTCCCAAGCGCATTAGCAGGAGCTGGAGCGGAAGTGGAGCAGCCGGGACTCGAACCAGCAGGTGGCAGCACAACGCTGGAGCCGGCAAGTCCTGGGGGTGGAGCCGCGGCTCAGACTGTGAGGGAGGGAACCGGGCACTACCTGTGCCTGACGCCTGGGTTTGGCCTGAAAGATGGGGAGGCCCAGGCAGCACTGGCGGTCGGGGGGTTACTGAACCTGGAGCGGGCCGTGAGAGAGCACATGTAACCCCGGGAACCTTCACGAGGTGGGGCTGCTGTTAGCCCCGTTTTACAGCTAGGCAAACCGAGGCCCAGAGACAACGTCTAGCCGGAGGCCCCGCCGCTGGAGAGCTGAGCCACGACCTCCCCGGTCACAGCGGCCACCGCGGGCGGAGAGACGAGCGGCGAGGTGCCGGGGCCACCCTCAGTGGCCGGCGGGCGGGGCTTGCGGCCAGGCGGCTGCTCCGGGCCTCCCCCGTGGGCTCCGCTCGCGCAGTGAGCGGATGGAGGCAGAGGGCCCGGCTGCCCCCAGGCTGCACCCTGCCCTCTATTGGCCAGGAGTGGGCCACGTGCCCGCCCCAGGACCAATGGGAGCTAGGGGGCGGGCTGACGGGCTGACAGCCTAAGAGCAGTGTGCGGTGAGGGCCCCACCCCGCTGCACCTCCACCTGCCCAGCACCTGAGTCAGGACAGGGGCGTGGCTGCCGGGGGAGGGGGAGGGGGAGGTTCCCGGGAGGGGCAGACCTCGCCGCAGCTCTGACTCAGACACAGGCGGGGGGGGGGGGGCTGCCCTCTTGGGACTGGGGTGAGCCCTGTGGGCTGGGGGAAGGGGAGCTGGGCTCACAGCAGCCGCCAGCACGCCTCGGGCCAGTGCGCGCAAAGGGACCAATCGCCCCTGTGGTCAGCTTCACGTGCTCTCCAGACCGCGACCCCAGGGCTGGGCCGAGCCTCCCCAGCCTGGGCGTCTGTCGGCCCTTCGTGGGAATCCAGCTCCCGCCTTCAGCCCTGGCTACTCTTGCTCCAAGTCCAGCGGCCCCAGGGAGGAGCCCAGCCTGGGATCAGCCATTGGAGATGTGGCAGCCGGCACTGCTCAGCTCCAGGAAGGGAGTGGGCGAAAGGAGGGGGCTCGGCCCTGGAGCCGAGTGGGTTCTGGGAGCCCAGGGCCCGCCACAGCCGGGGAGGAGGGGAGATGACCCAGAGGGGGTGCTGACCCCAGCCCGCTTCGCCGAGACTGGAGCTCGATGGGCAAAGGGCACTGGTAAGGGGGTCGGGGGCTGTGCGACCCGGGCCAAGTTACTGCCTTCTCTGGGCAAAACGGGGGCTGAGGCACACAGGAATGGGCACTCACCCAGAGATGTCCGAGCCCCAGACCAAGGGTCCTGGCGGGCACCGAGAGGGCCACCCTGACAATTCAGGAAAACCCTGCCTCCCGGGGAGTGGACAAGGGCCTGATCCCAACCTCTGGGTGCCTGTCACTCCCCACGTACCTGCAGCGGCCAAAGCTGGGCCCAGACCAGAGCCAAGGACCCACCAAGTCCTCCCAGGCACATCAGCAGGAAGCTGGACTGGAAGCAGAGGCTGGACGGCTTCCCAGGCACGCCCATAAGGTAGGGGTGTCGGCACCCCAAACCACTGCGCCATAACCCCACCCCACCCCACTCAGTGTCATCAGCCCACCCAAGGCCAGTGGCCACTCGGCTGGGACCCGGGCCGCGTCCCGTGGGGTCACAAGGACCCAGAAGCTGCGCTGGCGGCCGGGGACCTGCATGCTGGTCAGGCCCAGGGCCCGGGCACCCGTGCTCACAGAGGCCGGCTTCCCGGAGACCCAGAGAGAAAGGGGTGGCCCGGGCAGCTGCGGAGGGGGCCCTGCTGGGCGCTGGCCGACAGCACAGGCGTGTGGGGCACGTGGCTCACAGCCGTGCTCTCACAGGACCCCCGGTCACAGCCACCTGGTGCTCAGGACGTGGGCCTAGTGGGAGGGCCGGGGCCACTCAGTGGGGCCATGCCCGTGGGAGCTGGTTCTCGCCGGGGGGTGGCAAGGGGTGTCTGTGTCCTGGGTGACCCCAGGCCCCACCGCTGCCATCTGCGGCCTCCCACGGTGAAGCGTCCTGCCTTCACAGGTAACTGGCTTTTCTTAGCTTCCTGGGGTAGTGATGGCACGGCGCCTCCCGCCAGGAGCCCGCATCTTAAGTTATTTTCATTTTATTTCTTGAAAGGCAGAAAGACAATGAGAAAGACAGAGACGGGGCCAGCGTTGTGGCTTAGTGGGTGGGGTAGGCCTCGGCCTGCAGCGCCAGCATCCCTCGTGGACACGGGTTCACGTCCCGGCTGCTCCACTTCCGATTCAGCTCCCTGCTGACACACCTGGGAAAGCAGTGGAAGACGTGGGAAGTGAATCAGCAGGTGAAAGCGGCTGTCCCTGTGTAACTCTGCCTTTCAAATAAACAAACAAATCTTTGAGAGAAACATCTCCCCCTCTGCTGGTTCATTCCCCAGGACTTGCAGCAGCTGAGGCGGGCAGGGCCACAGCCAGGAGCCCAGAGCTCCGCCCGGGTCTCCCTGTGGTGGAGGGCCGAGTACCTGAGCCTCTCGGTGCGCATCGGCAGGAAGCTGGAGTGGGGAGTGGGGCCGGGACCCCGTCACGCCCCGCCTCCTTTTCTCCCTGGGGATGGTCATTGCCCACTGGAGGAACAGGAGCCCTGCCCAGCCTCGGCCCCGGCACACTGTACATGTCACCAGGTCAGCCCAGCACCTGCCAAGCTCTGCAGTGAGTCTCCCTCGTTCCGGCCAGCCGCCTCGCCGGTGTCTCTGTGTGTCCAGCAGGCTCAGCGGGGGGCAGTCCCAGCCCGGAGTTGGAGTTGGGTGGACAGGGCCTGGGGCACCAAGCCCCTGAGCTGGCCCCTCACCCACCCCTCAGCTGGGCTGAGACCACATGCCAGACCCCCACACCTTTCCTTCCTGGGCCCCTCTTGCCCTCTGCTGGGGGGGGCTTGTCTATCTGCCCTCCCATGCAGCTCCCACAGTGCCTCTCCCCTACCCAAGACTTGCCGTGTGCCCCCCCCAAGCCATGAGCTGTCGGGCAAGGGCTGGTCTCATCTGACTCTGGAGGAGGGCAGGGCACCCAGCAGGTGGGCAAGAGGCAGGAGGGGGCGTGGCCTAAAGCCAGAGGCACTGAGGGTGGGGCATTGAGAGGAGGGAGGCCGAGGCGGTAGGGGTAGGCTTGGCCTCCACTGAGGCAGGGCCTCAAGCTTCCAGGCTGCCCTTGGAGGGGAAGCCCCGCTCCAGCCCGTCTCCCCCGGGCACTCTCTCCTACTCGTCCCTGGTGCCCCTCACCCAAGCCCGGAGCCCTGAGGGACGGGGCCCAGGCTCTCCTGCCAGCGTGGCCTGGCTCAGTCGGGGCCCTGTGGAGCTGTCCCTGTCAGCTGCCTTGACCCAGCGCGGGGAACATTCACCGCTGACGCTGCAGGGGGCTGTGTCCCGGGCCGGGCAGGGGTCCCGACTGCCCACGGAGGCTACACCAGGGCCGGGACCCCCACGTCCCCCCACTGCAGACCACCTCGAGGGCCTGTTGTGGCAGGGGCCCGGCCGCCCCACCCTCTGGTCTGTTTTCTCATGTGACGCGTGTCGGGGTGTCCCCGATGCTGGGAGGGGCTCCCTCGGTGCTGGACAGAGGCCCCTGCACTGCCCCCTCCCCCACTTTTTGTTTTTAGGATTATTTATTTGAAAGACATTAGATCTTCCAGCTCCTGGTTCAGTCCCCAGATGGCCACAACGGCCGGGGCTGGGCCAGGCTGGAGCCAGAGCCAGGAGCTGGACTGGAGGCAGTCGCTGGGATGGCGGCATCGCAGGTGGCAGCTAACCCACAGCGCCACACGCCGGCCCCTCCTTGCCCCCACTTCTGCTCCAGCAGGGCAGGGTGGCCGGCATGGCAGGGCAGTGCCCGGGGGCAGTCTGGTGTCAGACCTGCCTGGGGTCCCCGGGCTGGCTCCGGCCAAGGGGCTGTGGGCACATCTGGCCCACACCCGGCAGTGGTGGCTGCCGCCTGGCCCCCGCCCCTCCCTGCCAGGTCCCACACCCTCACTTACCTTCCAAGTCCCAGTCCCTGGGCTCCAGGGAGCACACACACACCCCACCTGCTGGCTGGGCCCCTGGAGCCTCCCCCAAGGCGGGCAGACTCACGGACAGCCCAGCAGACAGGTGGTGTGGGGGGCGCACCAGGAACTATGCCCCGATGTGCCCAAAGACACCAGACGTGAGCCAGCCCCAAGCAGGGCCGTGGGCGCCAGCAGCTAGGGCACTGGAGGCCGGTGGGGACCGTCACGGAGGGCAGGCACCAGAGGTGCGGCGGCTGTGGGGTGGGACGCCAGGTCGCTAAAGGCCGTCCCAGGGCAGCCTCCTCTCCCACCTTCCAAGCAAGCTTCGTCCACGGAGCCCAGGACCCCGCCCCGCCCCGCTCCCAGCACGCCTCTCACTGCACGCCCCTGGCGCTCCGAGCTGACTCTGGCCAGACGTGGGCCCGAGCCCTGAGCGTTCCGGAGCTTTCGGCCTGGACAGGGGAACTTGCTGACTCAGGAAGGCGGGGGGGGGGGGGGGACAGCTCACTTCCCTGTGCTGCACCTGGGCCCGCGGCCCCCTGAGCACCTGCCAGCGGGCGGGAGAGGCCCCGGCCTTCTTGCCCACCTCCCCGTGCCCACCTGCACCCTTCAGAGGGGCTCAGTGTGTGGACATGGCCTGGGGCCAGAGGGGATGGCCGGCAGGGCTGGCCTTCGGGTCAGTGGGCCCTGAGAGCAGGACAGAACCCAGAGTGGCCCGCGAAGCGTCAGCCTGAGGTCCCCCCACAGGTGCAGGGTTGGGGCCCGGGTCCCCCTGCTGATTCTGACTTCAGGGGGTGGCTGCCTCGATGGGCCGGAGAGTCGGTCTTCAGGCCACAGCGGGAGTGGGGGCCGCACGTCTCACCCAGTGCTGGCTGGCCCCCAGCCCCCGCCTCCCCACCCACTGTGGTTCGGCCGCGGTGAGGTCCGCGTTCTGGTCCAGCCCTGACCCCACGGTGCAGGGGGAGTCGTGGGGTGGCTGCTCGGCTCCGGCCGTCCAGTGGGCGTGGGCACGGGGTGTGGGCGCCCAGGGCGGGTCAGCGCCCGGCGGACTGAGCAAAGCTGAGGCCGCAGCCAGGGCAAGGGCAGCAGGCCGGGGCGGGGCGGGGGGCTGCTGGAGGAATTGGGTCGGGGGGAGAGGGACGGAGTCGCCTGCGGCAGGGGGCGCCAGAGGCCTGGGACTGGAGCGGCCGCGGCCCGGGCCCGACCAGCCGGGGGTGGGGGGGGCGGGGCGGGGCTTGGCGGGACGCCCCCGGCCCCGGCGCGGCGTGGGGCGATGGGGACCCCCGCAAGAGCCGTCGGGGCGCGCGCGCGCTCATGAGGCGGGGCGGGGGGCCGTCTCGCGCAGGGCCCCGGCCTCGGCGTTCCCATCTGGAAAATGGGGCCTCATGACCTGCCCCGACCCGGCGCGGGACACTCGGGCTCCGCCAAAGCAGCCGTGGCGGGGCCTCTCGACGGAGCAACAGAACCGGCTGGCGGCCAGGGGCTCCAGGGACGGGGACCCCCCCCCAGCCCCGACCCTCCAGTTGGCTCCCCAAAACGACACGCACGGTCGAGCTTTTGAACCCTGCGCCCGCCGAGCGACCAAGGTGTCGCTTGCCGCCTCACTCGAGCGCGGGGGGCTGCGGGACGGCAGGGCCCCGCGCCGGGCCCAGGGTGCTACGTGCACCGCGACACGGCGGGGGCGGACCGCGGCCGCAGCGCCCCTCAGGCCGCCCGGAACCCGCGGCCGCGGGCGCGGCCCGCCCGCCGGACCGAGAAGGCGGGTGCCCCAGAGCCTTCGAGTCGGGCGCCTAGAGAGGCCGGGGCGCGGAGCCGGCGCCGACGGCGCCTGCGTCGCGCGAGGGGCGGGGCGGCGCGGGCGGAGGCCGGAGCCGGAAGCGGAAGAGGCGCTCGGAGCGGGGAGTGGGGCCTAGACGCAGCCGGAGCCTGGGAGACGGTGAGTGTGGGCCGGGGCCCGCGGCGGCGGCGGCGGGGGGTGAGTCGGCGGACGGCGGCGCTGGGGCGGGCCCGGGGGTCCGCGCTCGGTCTCGACCCGCTCCCTCTCCTGCACCTCTGCGGCCCCGACCTCTCACCCCTGACCCGCTGCTGCTTCCCCCCGGAGGGCGGTCGCTGCAGACCCCGACCTCCGGACCCCGCCGTGTTGGAGGCGGAGCGCAGGCGGCCCCCGAGGCCCCCCGAGCCTGCCCGCTGAACGGGGCCGGGGTCCGGCGTGGGGTAGCCTGGAAAGACTCGCGGGCCCCGCCGCTCCCCGCGGCTCGAGGCCCCTCGGCCCCTCGCGGCCAGGAGTTTGATTCTGGCCCGGGCTGGCTTTTCCTTCTGCCCCTCGGGGGTCCGCCTGGGCGCCGGTTCCCGGGGCCGGGGCTCGGAGACCCCGGGAAGGGACGCGAGCGGACACCGCAGGCCCCCGCCCGTGCTGCGGGGCCGCGCTGACAGCCCGCACGCCCGGGGCTCGGCTGTGCCCGGGGCCGGGCGCGGGGGTGGGAGCCGCCGGGGCCCGGCCCCCGTCCAGGCGCAGTTGGCGCTCCTCCAGCTCCGCTCCTCCGTGCCCTTGAGGGGGAGGAGCGGCTGCGCCGGTAGCCGCGGCAGGTTTGAGGTTGCAGCGGTGGGGCCGCGCCAGCCAAAAATAACCCTGGGGCGCTGGGGCGGCCGTGCCCGGCTGGCGCGCTGCTGGCGGCCCAGGCTCCAGCCAGGAGCAGCGCGCGAGACGCCGGGCGGGCCGGCCCCAGAAGGCGCTGGCGTCCCCTGGCCTCTGCCCTCGTCGTGCACCGCCGAGCCTCGCCGGCTGCTGGGGTCCCGGCCGGCTGGCGCTGGGTGGGGAGCAGGCCGAGAGCCCCGGCTGGCCCATGGGGCTTCTAGAGTCCACCTGCCCAGAACCTGTCGGACGGGCGGTGATTGTTTTCCTTTTAGGATTTGTTTACTTGAAAGGCAGAGTGACAGAGGGAAGGGAGGGAGGGAGGGAGGGCGCTTCCGTCCAGTGGTTCGTTCCCCAGTGCCGCAACAGCCAGGTTGGGGCCAGGTGGGAGCCGGGAGCTCCACCCAGGTCTCCTGTGTGTCTGGCAGGGGTCCAAGCACTCGGGCCCTCGTCTGCGGCCTACCCGGGCGCGTGGCAGGGAGCTGGGTGCGGGTCCTGCGCTCCGGTAGGCGATGCCGGCACCGCAGATGACAGCCTACCCCGTGCCCCAAGACGCCGGCCCCGCCAGTGGCGCCTGCTTATCTCCCTGTCCCAGGCGCGGGGCCGTGGCCTGGCGCGGGGTGTGCAGTGCAGGGGCTCACTCGGGGCTCCCAGCCGGAGCTCCCCTGTCCCGAGGCCCTCGCGGGGTGCCTGGAGCTGGCGGTGTTGTGAAGAGCTGCGTTTGTGCCTGCGTGCGGGCCGTGGCCCTCCCGGAGCCTGTGGCCGTCCCCGCTCCGTGTCACGCGGGTTCGTCACTCGGCCAGCTCCGCGGCCGTGCTCTCCCAGCCCCGTGAGCGAGTACGCGGGGGGCTGTTGGGCAGGATAGAGTCTTTGGCCTGGCCTGAGCGGAGCTGTGTCCCCCAGCGCCGGCGTGTGGACGCGGAGGCAGGACCGCACATGCCTGTGGGAGGGCCAGTGCCCTGGCAGGCCGCGTCCTCTGGTCAGTTAATGGGAGACCAGACTCTGCCTTCCGTCCCTGGCGTGGGCACCTGACCCCGGTAATTGCGGGAAACAGTGAAGCGTTCGTCAGCTGCTGTCAAAACAGGGGAGGCCGGGCCGCGCCTATCTGCAGGTGACTTGCGGTGGGCAGAGGTGGCCGGGGGAGGCAGATCCGTCTCCGGTCCTGCTCTGCTCCTGGCAGACCCAGCCTCCGTGGATTTGTCCAGAATATGCCTGGGCAGGCGGGCCCTGGGCTGTCGGTGACGAAGCCAGCTCTGGCCAGGCAAAGGCTGGGCCTGGCGTCTGTGGCTGCCTGTGGGGATGGCAGTCCCCACGGAACAGGGAGTGCGGGGCCCTGGCCGCCTCCCCGTGCAGCAGGAGCGGGTGCCAGAGCAGGGCCGTGCTGTGCACCCTTGGGAAAAGGTGGCCCTGCGGGCGTGGGGAGGGTGCGAGAGACGCAGATGCTGTGAGGACGCAGTGTGGGCCGGCCGGCCTGGCTAAGCCCTTGGGCAGGGTCGGGCATTTGTTTCGTCCTGATTTCTACGTTTTATTTATTTGAAAGAGTTAGAGGGAAAGACAGAGAACTTGCATTTGCTGGTTCACTCCCCAGGTGGTCACCACAGCCGGCCAGGCTGAACCCAGGAGCCAGGAGCTGCTTCCGGGTCTCCCAAGCACCCGGGCCCTCTTCCGCTGCCTTTCCTGGGCCATTAGCAGGGAGCTGGACCGGAAGTGGAGCAGCAGGGACTCCAGCTGGCGCCCATTTGAGACGCCGGCACTGCAGGTGGTGGCTTTACCTGCTAGGCCACAGCCCCAGCCCCTCGGGGCCCCGTGCGCCGCGTCCTCTGAGGGGTCCCGGGTGTGCGGCAGGCCACCTGCTCCGGCTCAGTCCCTGGCTCCTCTGTCCAGGGCACAGGAGCCGAGCACAGGGTCCCCAGCGCCCGTGCCCGCCAGCCCCGGCCTGGTAGGGGAGGGCGTCTCCCTTTGCTGCCCGGGGCCTGTGTGACCTCAGAGTTCTTCACCTCACAAACCCTGGGAGGGGCCGCCCGACAACAGCGGGCCTCTCCGGGGGGCAGCTGTGCCTAGCGGCCGCTCTGTGTCCCAGCCTAGATGCACCACTGTAAGCGGTACCGCTCCCCCGAGCCAGACCCGTACCTGAGCTACCGATGGAAGAGGCGGAGGTCCTACAGCCGGGAGCGCGACCGGAGACTGCACTACCCGTCCCGCAGGGAGCCGCCCCCCCGCAGATCCCGCTCCAGAAGGTGAGGGGCGCCCGCACTCCCCAGGGGCGTGGGGAGCCGGGCCCAGGCCCCCCTGACCGCCGTCCCGTGCCCCCCGGCAGCCACGACCGCCTGCCCTACGAGCGGAGGTACCGGGAGCACCAGGACGGCGCCGCCTACCGCTGCGAGGAGCGGAGCCCCTCCTTCGGCCAGGACTGCTATGGACCCTCGCGCTCCCGGCACCGGCGGCGGTCCCGCGACAGGGCGCCCTACCGGCCCCGCAGGCATGCCCACCACTGCCACAAGCGCCGCACCAGGTCTTGTAGCAGCGCCTCCTCGGTGAGTGGTGGCCAGAGTGCGCCGGCTGGGGCTCCAGGCCTCTCTCTCTGTAGGCTTCTCGGGCTGGCTGGTGTGGGTGAGTACTGCCAGCCCGGCACGCGTGTGTGCGAGTGTGTTGTCCAGGGCGCCGCTCCTCTCTCTCCTGACCTGACAGTGGCAACTAGGGGGACTTTGGCTCCGGCGTTGGTGGATCCCTGACCTCTGTCCCTGCTGCTCTGGACACAGGCCCCGTGGGGAAGCTGCCCGGGACCCTTCTGGGGTGCCGGCAAGGTTGCTGTGTGTGGTGTCAGCCGTGTGGCCAGTCCCCAGAGGCCTGGGCCTCAAATGCCCACCTGGCAGTCGTCTGTAAACTTCCGGCCTCCAGAGGGAGGGGCGGGCACTGTGTGGAGGGGCAGGAGGCAGTCCCGCCCCAGGCCTCGTCTGGTGGCAGGGTGCGGGCTGCCCGCCAGGGACCGGACCAGCGCTCCTCGCCTGGACGGTGCCCCGCGCCCGAGCCTGGGGGCAGAGCCGCGGAGTGCGCTCGCTGGCCCTCTGGGCTGCCTCCTGCCGGGCTGTGTGAGCTGGCCCTGCTCTCTCTGCTCTGCGTGGGTTCAAGTGGACTCGGTCGGCGAGTGCGGCGTGGCCTGTGCGCACTGCCACAGGAGGGCAGCGTGGGTCTGCGACTCTGCTTCTCTCTCTGGTGCCCTCGGTGTGAGGCTTGTGACGGGCGCAGGTGCCAGGGCAGCGCTGGCATGGGCCCGTGGGGGCCGTCGCAGTAGGGGCCCAGGCCCGGGTCCTGCTCGAGGCTGGTGGCAGGAGTCCCTGCCAGGCCTGGCTGTGGTAGCGACGTGGCTGTGGCCGGGGTGCCAACTGGGGCAGGTAGCAGCCGGCCCTGAGGGGCGGCTGTCGGGCGCGTGCAGGCCGGAGGCAGGCGAGCCGGCGGGCTCTGCAGCTGCGGTCGGGATCTGGTCGGGATGCGCCGTTTCTGCTGCGTCTTCAGCTCAGACCAGAGCCGCTGCGGGAGGCCTGGGAGGGCAGAGCCGGCCGGGGCTGAGGCTCCTGGGCCGGCCCCGCGGCGGCGGCGGCGGCGGCTTCTGCGCCGGCTCTCCCAAGGCGCTCTTCCTATTTAATGTCCGAGTCTCTTTACATACCTGTAGCTGTTTTTACTTTTCTGTTTTTGAAGTCAGTTTGTGTCTTGACGTGTCCCTTGCAATATCCCTATCGTTATATATGCTGTGTGCCTTATGAAATGCTGGGATCTGGAAAATCCAACCAACCAACCCACCGGCTCCTCACCGTCTCCACCTCTGCCTTTGACTGACACCTCAATCTGTCAATCGGAACCGCCTACCATGCGATTGGTCGGATGGCGTTTCGGGGGGCGGTGCATGCAGAGAAGCCAACAGAGCAGTAAGCGCAGCAGCCGGAGTGTGGAAGATGACAAGGAGGGCCACCTGGTGTGCCGGATCGGCGATTGGCTGCAGGAGCGATGTACAGCCACCTTTCGTAAACTTTACCTCTACTTCCTACCCCCTGTTAGACCAGCCTCTGCTGCCCAGAGCGGCCTAGCGCGTGGCCGTGGCCACAGTAATTTCTGAATGCCGCACATAGCAGCTCTGAGGGTAGCTGAGAGAGACCTCTGTTGTTGAGAACTCGAATGCGGTGAACTTGCAGGAGCTGCCGCGCCCCCGCCCCACGGACGCTCACGCCCAGCCTCTCTTCTCTCCTAGACGAGATCGTGGGCAACCTGGGTGAGGGCACCTTTGGCAAGGTGGTGGAGTGCCTGGACCACGCCAGGTGAGGGGCACAGCCGGTCCCACAGCGGGCTTCTGTCAGGGCTTGCTGATGACCCAAGACCAGGGAGATGCTGTGGGAACTGTCGCACACACGGCTCCGAGACCCTGGGCGTCCGCACCTGGCAGGCTGCCTCCGCCTCTGCCCCCGCCCAGCGAGTGGGCCCGTGTGCCACGCTCCAGCCGACCCTCCTCGAGCCCTGGACCCGCACATCCTCTCCTGCAGCCCTGGGTTGGGGAAGCTGCTCCCCGGGTACTGGGGACCCTCCTGTGCCTTAGCCACAAAGTGCCGTGCTCAGGGCCACCTGCATCAGTGGTGGAGCTGGGTGCCAGCGTCCCCCAGGGCCCCCACACGCGTGGAGCCAGCCTGCAGCAGTGGTGACGCAGAGCGAGCCTCCCCTTTGCTGCCAGCTCCCCCTGGAGCTCCTGGGGCGCCACGTGGCTCGGGCTCGGGCTGGGAGCAAAGGGACAGACGGCAGAGCTGAGGGCACTAAACTGCCTGTGTGCAGGGGTGAGGTGGCTGACAGGCTGTGGGCCCCTCCACGGGGAGCAGGGTGCCTTCTAGAAAACGCCTTCATCTGAGGCCTCAGCACCCCTCACGGCCAGGGCTCCCCAGCTCATGTCCCCACTGCCCCTCGCTGGCACAGCCTGGGAGCCACCTCAGTGGGTTCCTTCTCTGCTCACGTCCTGGGGCAGGGTGGATGGGGCGTGTGGAGTGCAGGGACCGTGGGGACCCTCCTGGGGTTAACAAGGGCCTTGGGCGGCCTCCACTCCTCACGAGCACCTCCCTCCTGGGCCCAGGGGGAAGTCTCAGGTTGCCCTGAAGATCATCCGCAATGTGGGCAAGTACCGGGAGGCCGCGCGGCTGGAGATCAACGTGCTCAAGAAGATCAAGGAGAAGGACAAGGAGAACAAGTTGTGAGTGCCTGGGGCTGCAGCCGGGAGGCCAGGGGGCGCTGCGGCAGGCCCGTGGGCCCATCCTCTCCCTCCGCAACCGAGCCTGTGGCTTTGTGCCTACCAGGACCGTCTGGGTGACGGCTGGTACAGGGCCCTGCCTGGCTGAGTGTCCATGTGCACCTGTGTCCTGGGAGAGTGGGGGCAGGATCCAGGGACAGGGGCCCAGATTCTGAGCCCCCCACTGCTCCCCCAGCCTGTGCGTGCTGATGTCGGACTGGTTCAACTTCCACGGTCACATGTGCATCGCCTTCGAGCTGCTGGGCAAGAACACCTTCGAGTTCCTGAAGGAGAACAACTTCCAGCCGTACCCCCTGCCCCACGTGCGGCACATGGCCTACCAGCTCTGCCACGCCCTGCGCTGTGAGTGTCCCTGCCGGCCCCCACCTGCACGTGGGGGGGAGAGGGATGCCTGCCCCCACGGCCTTGGGCCCATCTACTGTGGACAGAGGGTGCTGGTGGAGAGCACTCCGCCGGTGTGGGGTCTCGAGTGCCGGAGGGAGCCTTGGGCCCCAGATGCTGGGGGCAGAGCGTCCCCGGCAGGCCCCCGGCAGCCTCCGGAGCCTGAGCGGCTGTGGCTGTGGGTGACAGGCTGCAGGGCTTGAGCGCCCTGGGGAGGGAGCCGGGGGGATGCAGGGCTGGCGGGGCTCAGTGCTGCCTGCCCTCGCAGTTCTGCACGAGAACCAGCTGACCCACACCGACCTGAAGCCAGAGAACATCCTGTTCGTCAACTCCGAGTTTGAGACCCTCTACAACGAGCACAAGGTACTGGTGGGTGCACGGCGAGGCCCGGCCAGGGCTGGGCCACGCTGGGCCCGGCTCGGGACCGGCCGGCTGCCTTGCCTTGCAGAGCTGTGAGGAGAAGGCGGTGAAGAACACCAGCATCCGGGTGGCCGACTTCGGCAGCGCCACCTTCGATCACGAGCACCACACCACCATCGTGGCCACCCGGCACTACCGGCCACCAGAGGTGATCCTTGGTGAGTGACCGCCCCGGGCCTTGCCCAGGGACCTCTAGGCTGGGGTGGCTCTCACGGCCCGGCACCTCTTGTTTTCCAGAGCTGGGCTGGGCGCAGCCCTGTGACGTCTGGAGCATCGGCTGCATCCTCTTTGAGTACTACCGGGGCTTCACGCTCTTCCAGGTAACCCTGGCACAGCCCCGGGGCCCTGTGCGGCCGCGCCCACGCCTCCTCACCCCGGCGGGCCGAGGCAGGAACTGACCCACGTTTTCTCTGGCTTCCTGCAGACCCACGAGAACCGTGAGCACCTGGTGATGATGGAGAAGATCCTGGGGCCCATCCCACCCCACATGATCCACCGGACCCGGTACGGAGCTGCAGCCACCGCTGCGGGGGGGGGGGGCCAGCCCGCGCCTCTGCCTGACCCCTGCCCCGTTGTCAGGAAGCAGAAGTACTTCTACAAAGGAGGCCTGGTCTGGGACGAGAACAGCTCCGACGGCCGCTACGTGAAGGAGAACTGCAAGCCTCTCAAGGTCAGCTTCCTCCCTGGCCCGCGCGGACACCGTGGCCGTGGCCGCCTCCCTCCCCCTGACGCCCGTGTCCCCGCGCAGAGCTACATGCTGCAGGACTCCCTGGAGCACGTGCAGCTGTTCGACCTGATGCGGCGGATGCTGGAGTTCGACCCCGCCCAGCGCATCACACTGGCCGAGGCCCTGCTCCACCCCTTCTTCAGCGGCCTGACCCCCGAGGAGCGCTCCTTCCACACCAGCCGCAACCCCAGCAGATGACAGGCGCAGGCCCGCACGGGGAGACGCGGTGGGACTGGGCTGCTGGCTCCTTTCCCGCCTCTCCCGCAAGGCCACCCAGTGGGCCAGAGCCACCCAATGAACAGTGCACTGTGAAGGCAGGCAGGAGCCTGGGGGCGGGACTTGGTGCCCAGCTGCCAGAAAGCACAGACCGGACCCAAGCTATTTATATGTTGTAAAGTTATAATAAAGTGTTTCTTACTGTTTGTAACCCCTGGTACCAGTGTGTCCATCTCCAGGCTCCCTTCCCCTAAGAATAAAGTCTTTCTCAGCAGTTCGGCTGTGCAGAGCTGAGTGTGCGCTGGGCCGGCCGGCCAGCCAGCATCACCACCTGGGGGGGGGGGGGGGGGCCGGGCATCTGTGGGGCAGAGGCCAGACACCGGAGCAGTCACCACACTGTCACTCAGCTTTATTGTCACGCTGGACACACTCCCAGTGCCCCTCAGGAGGCAGCTTCCTGCAGGGGGCAGTCCTGAGCCAGGCCATGTCCACCACAGGCCAGAACCTGCTGCCCACCCCAGGGTCACGGCCTGGCTGAGAGCCACTCAGCCCCAAAGCCAAGTCCTTGGCACTGCCTGAACCTTCACGAGGGAGGAGAGGAGGGGCCCGCCCTCCTGCCTGCTGGTCTGTTCCCGGGGAAAAGGCGCAAACAGCTGAACTCCCACCCACAGCCAGTGACCGCACAGGGCAGAAGCAAGCCTCTCAGGCCGCGTCCTTTGCCAAGGGTCTTGCTGGGGCTCCAGGGCAGGGGTCCGGGACAGGCCCCCTCCGGCCAGCTCCCCCAGAACCTCCGACACAGGGCACCTGTCTGGCACGGACAGCTGTACGGGGTTGGAGGAGCCGCGAGCAGCGCAGGCAGGGGTGTGCCCCCTGCTGTGGGACGGGAGGGCAAAATGGGCTCACACGTGGGCAGGGAGGGGGCGGCCTAGGACAGAAGCACCAGGGAGCCTCCTCTGGCTCAGCACCAGGCTCCCCCAGGGGCCTCCCCAACACTGAACATGAAAGCTGCACCCTGCCTGTGGGCGGGCACTGTGGTTCAACAGTAACACCCTCGGGTGCCCCAGGATGCCACCCCTCCCCTGCCTCTCAGAGCCGGAGTGGGAAGGAGGGGAAGTCCTGCGGGATTCAGCAGGAAACCTGGGGTGAGGCTAGGGGAGGGTGGCGGCCACGCGGCGGCTCCCTGGCCAGAGGGGGGCTGTGTGGCCAGGAGCGGGAAGGCAGAGCACAAGCACTGACAGGGGTACAGGGGTACAGGGCCCAGCCCAGCCTGACCGCTACCCGTGTCTGTAAACAGGGCCCAGCACAGGGGCCAGGCGCAGAGCGGCCACACGCCCTGGCCGAGGCGGGCCAGCTCCAAACCCCAGAGACCTGGACAGGGTCCCAGAAGCTTCCCATCCTTAAGGCGTTCGGCGGCGGGTGGGCGGCGGGGCCGCTAGGCGGAGTGCAGGGGGATGACAAACTTGCAGCCAAAGGGCGAGTGGTAGCTGATGCCCACCTCCTGGAAGACCTGCTGGGGGATGCCGATGTCGCACAGGTAGACGCGGCCCGCGTGCTCGCCCAGCGGCAGGGGCAGGCCGAGGGCCAGGGACCACTTGGCGTCGATGCCCCGTTCGACCTCGTGCACGGGCGGGTCTATGCTGAGCACCGGCGCGCGGTTCTGGTTGGCCCAGGCCACAGCGGCCTTGTACCAGGGCTGATCCCGCAGGAAGGCGCTCTCGGGGCAATCCAGACAGTTGATGACCAGGTCCACGGGGCTGCTGGGGAGGTCTGCAGGGAGACAGCGCCGCTGACAGGGCCGCAGTGCACCGCCTGCTCTCCAGGCACCGCCCATGCCCTTGGAAGGCTGGCCTGGAGACGCCTCAGCTGCCCCCGCAGGGAGTCCCGTGTGCGCCCAGAGGCCTGCCCGGGACTGGTCCTGCTTGACCACACCCTTCCTCCAGTCCTCCTGCCCCACGATGCCCCCCAGACTGCTCCTCACACTCAACTCTGAGCTGTGCCCCCTGCAGCCACAGCTGACCGCAGCTCCCCTCCGGCACTGACCGCTCCTGCCAGCCCGCGCGGCCGGGCCTGGATTCCCCGATTTCTCCACCCACAGCCTGGCCTTCCACTCCTCCACCCTCCCCTGGGGGCATCTCAGCGCGGCCTCAATGTTTCTGTCCACCGGGGCTCCAGATCCACACTGCCAGCAAGCCCCCACCTGCACAGCCCACCGGTCCCAGCCCCCGCCCCGGCTGAGACAGCACCTCGGTGACTCAGGCCATGACCCACGGAGCCATCCTGAATCCCAGCCCCTCAGCCCGCCGTCTGCTGGCTCCATCTTCAAGATGGATTTGGAAACAGCCCGGGGCCGCCTCCCCACATCTCTCCCACCAGGTCCCTGTTAACACCTCTGCACTCCTGCAGGCTCCTGTCCGGCACTGTGGCGGCCAGGGGGTCTCGTCCCGCCACTTCCTCATGCAGAGCCAAACCCTAGGCCCTGGGGACTCCTGCCCCCCACCCAACACTCCTCCTGCCACCTGGCCGAATGTGTCACGGATTCCTGCTTCCTGACCAGGATGTAAGAGGACGGAAGCTCCCTGGAAGAATGGATTTTAAACATCTGTGGCCATAGCCCTGGCATCAGCAGTGGCTACTCCATAAGTACCCGTGAAATCAACGGGCCTGGAGCTGTCCACGGCAGCCGTGAGAGCAGGAAGCAGGGCTGTGGCACAGGGCACTTCCCCCAGAGGGCTGGCCACACATTGCTGCCTTTCCACCAGCAGCCGCTGGGCGGCGCCAACAGACCAGCTGACCGCCAAGGAAGCGGCAGCTCTCCCAGCCCGGGCAGAGGGCGCACCCACCTTTAAGGCTGGACACTTGCTGGCCCTGGGTCTTGCTGAAGAGAGACAGCTCGTTGGTGATGGACTCCAGCATCTTGACGAAGTTGGGCAAGAAGAGGATGACCTGCACGTCGTGGTTGGCCAGGTGCCGGCCACAGCTTATCCCCTGAGCCCCCTTCACGTGCGGCCCACACAGCAGCGCCACCGTGGGCCTCTGGTGAACGTTTTTGGGGTTCAACCTAGAATGGAATGGAAGCAGTGCCAGCTGCAGCCTCGCCGGTACCCCAGCCGCGGCTCACAAGGCCTGGGCCCCCCTGCAGGCTACGTGACCCCAATGCCACCTTGCTGCCGGGACGGGTACCTGCTGTGGCTCACTCGGTCTGCACCCCGCCTGGCCAACAGTCCCCCGCCCCCACAGCCTTCATGCTCCGCCCCAGCGCGCCTGCACCTGCCCGCTCTCCCCAGCTCACTGGCACTCAGTGGCCCTGCCCTGACAGCTGTCTCCTGGAGCCCAGCTCAACCTCACCTCCCCTGGGCCGGCTCTGCCCGCACTGACCCTCCCTTTCCTCAACTCTAACTCCCAGTCAGTGCCGATTTAGACCGTGCTTTAGGGGCGGGGAGTCACTAATTTGAAAGGCAGAGGGAGGGAGAGAGAAGGAAGGGGGCAGACAGAGGTCTTCCATCCCCTGTTCACTCCCCAAACGCCTGAAACAGCCAGGGCTGGGCCAGGCTTGGGCCAGAAGCCAGAACTCATCCACGTGAATGGCAGGAAGCCGAGCACTGAGCCATCAGCCACCACTCGCAGCTGCTCCAGCAGGGGCTGGGGCTGGACTGCGCCCCGCCACGGGAGGCAGGGGCCGGCACGCAAGCGCAGCTCAGCCCACCCGACTCAGGACGGCTGCCCCGTGCTCATGCCGCTCCAGGTTCCCCCTCCTGAGCACACGTCACGGAGCACCAGCTTCTGTTTCCACGGGTGCCGTGGCTACCAGAGGGCAGCTCGCAGCAGCGGACACACAGCGCCGCACCGGTGTGACCAGAGGCGGCAGCTGCCGTGGAGAAGCGGTCACCTCCAGCCTCCTGCCATTCGAGGCGGAGAGCCGCCCGCTCTCAGAGGCCGAGCGAGCTGTGCAGGGTCAGCCTGCAACTGTGTCGCCTCCGGCAGCACCCGGCTGGCGGGCAGGAGGTCCCTGCTTAGGGCGGAACGGGGACAGTCACTCAGCAGCCTTCCAAAGGCAAGGTGGCAGATGCTGTGTAGCCAAACGGGAGCTCTGTAACCATGCCCTTCCCAAATACACCCCGCAGACAGGCCGGCGGGCACGCACCCCAGGGTGCAGTTTTGTGGGTAACAGCCCTCGGTGCCCTGGAAGCAGTGACACATTTAACTCGGGATCCCTAACTGCGCGTCTGAATGCACACCCCAGCCCCGCCATGCAGCCCCGGCCAGACAAGAGGTGCTACCTGTTGGGTCCTCCGAGAAGGGTCAGTGCCATCTGACTGGCGCACACGCCCGTCACCTCCAGCCTCCGCTCCAGGGTCAGTCCGTGCTTCTCGGCCACCGCCAGGAGCTTTTTGTGCAGCTCGTAGGAAACGCTGGGGACGACCAGGCCAGAGTCTGCAGCACAGGAGGAGGTGAGGGAGGGGGCAGACTCCAGGGAAGCAGGTCCCAACACGGGCGCCCTCTCCCCAGGATCCTGCACCTGGCGACACCTTCAGACCACCCGGCCCTCCCCTCCCCCCCCCCGGATGCAGCAGGCTCCGCCCCTGTGGAGCCCAAGCAGCAGTTCAGCCTCAGCCCACGACAGCTGGGCCGGGAGGCAAAGGGCGCTGCCAGGTGGGGGCCAGCACAGGCCTGAGGGCGGCCTGCTGACCCCTGCAAGACGGCACGCCTCTCCCGAAGCAGGTGCGGCCGTGCTGCCGTGGGCCTTTCCTGCCACCTCCACGGCCCCGTCGGCCCCTCTGCTGCAGAAACCCAGCTGGCCACTTGCTTCCTCAAAGAACCTGTGTCTGTCCCTCACACCACAGGAAGGAACACACCGGAGGGGACATCCGAGCTACCTGGAGACCAGCTGTGTTTTTCATTTAAGGCCAATGAAGACCCCTTTCCAGAGGCGGGGCAAGGCCCAGTCTGAGGCAACAGCATGGCGAGCACCTGGCTCCCCTGGCTCAGAGCGAGTCCACAGCGGCCGGAGTCCCCACAGGGGTCTGCAGGGCCCAGCAGCAGGAGGGGCTGTCCAGGGCGCCCCGGGGGGCACAGCTCAGGAGCAAGTCACACTGGGCCACACCCAGCCGTTTCCATCTGGTGAGGACAGACCGGGCCTCAGCAACGGGGCGGGGGGGCCCTCCATGCAGGGACCCCCTTGCGGCTCCAGCTATCAGAGGTGAGCACACCCCACGTAAGGCCCACAGACCTGGCGCCATTTCTGGTCTGGCCTGACTCCAAAGCACAAACGCTCAGGGAAGTCATCGACCCGGCCACAGCACCAGGTCTGTTCTCAGGGGAAGGCCGGATAATGCACGAGACAAGGACAGAAACAACGCCCAGTGCACCCAAACACACACCATCCTGCCGGCTGTCTTCTGGGCGGAGGCGCCGCGCCTCTGAAAGGCCAGTCTCGTCTACGGCCACACCACCCCGAACGCGCCCCATCTCGTCTGAAAGGCCCGTCTCGGCGACCCAGCAGCTGGCAGTGCTGAGGCTGCAGCCCGGTTCCGTGGAACAGCTGCTCAAAGAGCCACGTGCATGGCCTGCTTCAGACGCACAAGTCAGCAGAGCACAGAACCCAAGAGCAGCGAGCAAGACTGACGCGGGTCTCAAGAGTCCCGAGCTGCCTGGCAAGTCACCCACCTGCCCTCCCGCACCCTGTGTACCCACCTGCCCTCCCACACCCTGTGTGCACCACCTGCTCCTCCCACCCCGTGTGCACCACCTGCCCTCCCACACCCTGTGTGCACCCACCTGCCCCTCCCGCACCCTGTGTACACCACCTGCCCCTCAGGCACCCTGTGTACACCACCTGCCCCTCCCGCACCCTGTGTACACCACCTGCCCCTCAGGCACCCTGTGTACACCACCTGCCCCTCCCGCACCCTGTGTGCACCCACCTGCCCCTCCCGCGCCCTGTGTGTACCCACCTGCCCCTCCCGCGCCCCGTGTACACCACCTGCCCCTCCCACGCCCCGTGTGCACCCACCTGCCCCTCCCGCGCCCTGTGTACACCACCTGCCCCTCCCCGCGCCCTGTGTACACCACCTGCCCCTCCCGCGCCCTGTGTACCCACCTGCCCCTCCCACGCCCTGTGTGCACCCACCTGCCCCTCCCGCGCCCTGTGTGCACCACCTGCCCCTCCCGCGCCCTGTGTGCACCCACCTGCCCCTCCCGCGCCCTGTGTACACCACCTGCCCCTCCCGCGCCCTGTGTACACCACCTGCCCCTCCCGCGCCCTGTGTGCACCACCTGCCCCTCCCGCGCCCTGTGTGCACCACCTGCCCCTCCCGCGCCCTGTGTACAACCACCTGCCCCTCCCGCGCCCTGTGTGCACCCACCTGCCCCTCCCGCGCCCTGTGTGCACCACCTGCCCCTCCCGCGCCCTGTGTGCACCCACCTGCCCCTCCCGCGCCCTGTGTACACCACCTGCCCCTCCCGTGCCCTGTGTGTACACCACCTGCCCCTCCCACGCCCTGTGTGTACACCACCTGCCCCTCCCGCACCCTGTGTACACCACCTGCCCCTCCCGCGCCCTGTGTACCCACTTGCCCCTCCCACGCCCTGTGTGTACCCACCTGCCCCTCCCGCACCCTGTGTACACCACCTGCCCCTCCCGCACCCTGTGTGCACCACCTGCCCCTCCCGCGCCCTGTGTACCCACCTGCCCCTCCCACGCCCTGTGTACACCACCTGCCCCTCCCGCGCCCTGTGTACACCACCTGCCCCTCCCGCACCCTGTGTGTACCCACCTGCCCCTCCCGCGCCCTGTGTGCACCCACCTGCCCCTCCCGCGCCCTGTGTGTACCCACCTGCCCCTCCCACGCCCTGTGTACACCACCTGCCCCTCCCACGCCCTGTGTGCACCCACCTGCCCCTCCCGCGCCCTGTGTGCACCACCTGCCCCTCCCGCGCCCTGTGTGCACCCACCTGCCCCTCCCACACCCTGTGTACCCACCTGCCCCTCCCGCGCCCTGTGTGCACCACCTGCCCCTCCCACACCCTGTGTGCACCCACCTGCCCCTCCCACACCCTGTGTACCCACCTGCCCCTCCCGCGCCCTGTGTGCAGTCCCACAAGCCAGGGCCCCCCTCGGCCCCATGTCCGCTCAGTCCTGCCTGGCGCACCTGCACAGGCTCCGGGCAGCGAGTCCTGGGCCCGCCCCGCCCGTCTCCGGCTGAGCGCTCCCCCGCAGCAGGCAGCAGCACTTTGAGCCAGCCTTCCCCCCACAGCCACGTCAGGGCACAGCACTGCCCGTGCCGGTCAAGGGGGCCCGCCTCCGAGCACACCCTCGCTGATCTGGGCCGGGCCGAGGCACGGCAGTGGCCGGCGTATTCCTGCAGCCGAGGGAAAGATAAGGCTGGGAATGCCGTGTGAGCACAAGGCAGCTGCTCGGCGAGCAACAGGCCAGCACCACACGCATTCCTTGCAGACACTGACCAAGTCTGGCCAGTCAGACTGGCTTCTTGGAGACAGGCAGAGGGGTGCACTCAGCTCCCACGAAGAGTGCCAGGAGCCCGCTTGGCAGTGCAGGGGCAAAGCCTGCCAGTGTCCGCACTGGAACTGGGGCCCTCCCGAAAGTGTCCTGAGACCAGATTGGGGAAGGCAGGGTCCCCTCTGAGAGAAGACTGCCTGCAGCCTCCCCTCCCGAGGGGCCCACGCCTCCCCCTCCCCGCACTCTCCTTTCTCTGTCCCAGGGGCTTCCCTGCCAAGTGTCTGCTTTGACGGAGCTCGGTCCTCCCTGGACAGGGCCCTCCGCAGGAAAGGCTGCGTGTCCCCTCTTCTCCCCGAGGACGGGACGCAACCTCCAGCAGGAGGGATCCACAGTGCTCTGTGGCAGGCACTGCCACCCGGGTTCCTCGTGGGACACAGCCTGGATGCAGTGTACACACACACACAGCCCCAGGCCGCCGTGTGAACACGGCTGCAGTCACCCCAAATGCAGCCAGGTGTCAAGTGCATCCCTGAAGAAGGAGCCGCCGTCACACCACTGGCACCTCGTGCAGCCCTTGGCCTCACCACCTGCGCCCACCACGTCCCAGACTCCCTGCCCCAACACCCAGCTTCCTGCTGGCTGCCCTCTTCCCACAGCCTGCCGGCTGCTCCCTCCCCTGGGCTGAAGACACTGCCGCCGCCCCTCCTCTCCCCAGCCTGTAAGCTCCGTGTGCGCAGGTGCCCCCCCCCCCAGTGCCCTCAGCGTGTGGGGGCTCAGGAGTGGACAGGAAGGACGCCCGCAGGCAGACTCCAGGCCCGCTCTGGGCGTCCTGTCAGGACCCAGGTGGGTGTGGCTAGGGTGCTCCTGACTGACCCTGCGCCTCATTCCTCCACCGGAGGAGTTCTGGACCCGGCGGGGGTGGGGGAGCACGTGAGCCGCCAGCTGACCAGTCCTCAGGGCACAACTCTCTCTGCAGCACGGAGGGCTGGTGGACAGCGCCTTCCCCAGCAATCAGACTCGGCCCTGGGCAGGGACAGACTGACGGGGCACACGCCCTGCAGGGCCCCACCCCAATCCTGAAGGCATGTTCGCATAAACCAAACCAGGAACAATCTGCAGGTCAACCGGCCTGGACTCCACAAGATCAAGAAAGACAACCAGGCCAGTGGGACTTTTCTATGTTAAAAGAAAGATATTTAACACCTGCAACGCACAGCAGCTGATTGGAAATACAGCCCTGGCCGGCGCCGCGGCTCACTAGGCTAATCCTCCGCCTGTGGCGCCAGCTCCCCGGGTTCTAGTCCCGGTTGGGGCGCTGGATTCTGTCCCAGTTGCCCCTCTTCCAGGCCAGCTCTCTGCTGTGGCCCGGGAAGGCAGTGGAGGATGGCCCAGGTCCTTGGCCCCTGCACCCACGTGGGAGACCAGGAGGAGGCACCTGGCTCCTGGCTTCGGATCGGTGCAGTGCTGGCTGTGGCGGCCATTTGGGGGGTGAACCAACGAAAAGAAGAAGACCTTTCTCTCTGTCTCGCTCACTGTCTGACAAAAAAAAAAAAAAAAAGGCAGCCCTGAGACAACAGGACAGCAGCGCAGAAGGCTGTGTGTTAGACACTCTGATGTCTGGTATAGGTTTCCCACAGTGTGGTGGTGCAGTGCGATCCATGCCCCACTGAGTATGTGTGGCTGATCTGTGCAGGCGACACAGAGTGGTCCCCTGCACACACACACAAGGTGTGGCCCCTTCAGCCGCTAGTCTAAAGGAGTTAGGAGTTTCCCAGTGTGCTCCACAGCAGTGTGCAGAGGAAGAACACAGCACGGGCCCCTACCTTGCTGGCCCAAAACCAGACCCACGGGAGCACCAGACAGTGCCCGGCAGCCCGAACCCATTACCTGAGCACAGGGGCAAAGGGTGCAAGTGCAGACCGAGGGGTCCCACTCTCGACCTGCTCGATGCGTGCAAAGACCACAGACAGCAAGG